AAGGCCCTCCGCGACGTCCGCGCCCACGAAGGCCCTCCGCGCCCACAAAGTCCCTCCGCGACGTCCGCAACCACGAAGGCCCTTCGCGACCACGAAGTCCCTCCGCGACGTCCGCGACCACAAAGGCCCTTCGCGACCACGAAGTCCCTCCGCGACGTCCGCGACCACAAAGTCCCGCCGCGACGTCCGAGAGGCGTTGGGAGGGGTGGAAGGTGGAGGCAGGGGCTGGTTAGCTCAGAGGGATTGTGTTAGGGAAGGATGGAGAGCCCTCCTGCCCTCAAGCAAAACACTCCATCGAACTCCCACCCGAACGAGCGCTCGCTGGCCGTTGGCCCCGAATGAGCGTCTCCCCAGGGCTGAGCAGGTCTCACTGTCTCTTGTGCAGAGAGATGTAGCCCCATCTCTGGCTCTGTTCTGCAGAGACCAGGACGGTCTGGCTCCACAGGACGGAGTTAAGGGGTGCCCTTGTTGCCAGAAAGATGAGGCTCAGTGGCATGTCACCAAGGGGGTCCCGACCAGAAAACCCGTTACACAGTGTGAAGTGTTTATATTTTTATTATTTCTGACTTTTTCCTTGACTCCAGTGTAGATACAGAGGTTCTCAAGGAGGACAGTCGATGTATGTTGGCTCTCGTCTCCTGGTGAGTTTTGTTGGCTTTCTTCAGTCGCTTGGCCAAGAGGTTTGCATCTTCTGCTGCTTCTTCCTCATCCTTCTGAGTGCGTTGCTTCTTGAGAGCAATAAGTCTGAGTCTCTCTGGCAGCACTTGGGGAATTAGCAATGGTTGGAGCTTAGGAGCCTTGGTCCAGAGTTTCTTGCCTTCCTTTCGCAGGGGTTTGCTCACTACATATTGACCGATGGCATCTGTTCTGGAACGGTAGAACAGCTGGCGGATTCTGCCAGCCCTCTTGGGACCAAGTCGAGGAGACCCCGTGGGAGCTGTCAGGTCAGGAATCCCCCACGACTGAATTTCCTCCAACTACCGTTCCCCCATCTCCTCCACCTCCATCTCCTCCTCCCATCCCCCCATCTCCACCTCCATCTCCTCCACATCGCTGCTGTCGGGGTGCTCCTGGAGCTGGGGCTTCGCCAGGGCACTAGGCCCCTTGACCGCCTACTGACCCACATTGACCCCCCAGCAGCACCTCCCGTTAGCACCGCAGGTGCAATCCAAACGCAGAGCCCAGCCAGGGGAGGGGGCAGAGCGCACAGAGGATTGTGCTGCTCGCACAGGCAGGAGCAGGGAGGTGAAAACCTCCCCCCCACTGACACTGTGCCTGTCTCCACTGCCATGAGGCTGCCCCGCGGGCTGCGTTGCCTGGACGGGGGGAGAAGCTGACGACTCCATCTGCCGCAGGAGTCCCTGAAGCAGCCCGAGCCTAGAACAACAGAGCCCGGCTCGCACAGGATCGCGGCCCTCAAAGCGCGCTAAAAGCAGGTCCCGCCAGGAGCCCGGCTTCGGCTGAAGCCCGCTGGGCTGTTCTTGCAGCCGCCCGTTCCCTGGCTCACTTGGGTCAACAAGCCCAGCGCGATCGACAACGGAGCCTCCACTTCCCTAGAAGTCGCTTCCACAATCAAATCAGCCCCATTCATTGAGAACAGGGAACGGCGCAGCCTGTATTTATCCATTGCTGAGAACCGCCCCGCCCCTGGGCAGAGCCAGCCAGGGAACTGCGGGAACCTGGCCACACCTGCTTGGAAGCTGCGCTCTGATTCACCGGCTACTGCCACCTCGCTCACAGAGCTGCTGTTCGCCCGCAATGTTGGCCCTCCGCGCCGTCCGCGCCCACTAAGGCCCTCCGCGCCCTTTTATGGACTCGGTACTCGGCTGCCCACTGTATTAACTGAAGGGAACTGCATGCGGTTTAAGTTACTAGCGCTGATGCCTCTTTGTCTGTGGTCCTGCTTCTCTGGCAGAGGCCAAGAGGGTAGGGGAGCGTCTG